CGCAAGATACACTGGAAGACACTCCAGGGTGGCATTCTCTGGGTGAAAATTAAAAGCATATTTGTAAGTTGATTAGCATACTTTATCAAACAAACAACTCTGTCTACATTCCTATAACATTCCTTTGTAAAACTGCTAGAGTAAATCGAAAATATTTCCCTAAGTCTGAGAACATGCATTTTTTTCAATATAGGAAATCAGGAAAATGTTTGCATGAGTTATCAAATTCATTTGAAACAAAGAAATATCTGGAATCCTTACCTTAAAAATCAAGACACTGGAAAGTTAGGTAGAAGAGATTGTTCTATAACATCAATGTTCTTTATTTTAAGTCCATGTATATTTACCTGTTTTACAGGGTTAATTTTCAACTCTTCAATTCTATCTTCACTAATATATTAAAAATGTTCTTTGTAATCTGATTATCCAGTCACTTAACAACATAAATGAAAGCTCACATCACTAACTGTCCCCTTCTCATATATATAAATATATTTATGTTAAGATCAAAGAACATTAAAGAAATACAATTTTAGTGGTGACATGTGGGGGATTGCCTCCCCCTAAAGAATGTTAGTAATTATTGCAAGTAGAAAATTGCAAACACAACTGGAACCTTTATATTTTCATTTCCTTTATTACACTTGATATTCAAACTCTTTATGCATTTGTTTAAAAAGTGGTAGTTGAGAGTAGCTTTCTGGTCAGTGGACCCAATTCAAGTGGCAGCATCAAGTTTGTTTGCATACATTGTTTGTTTGTTCTAGATACCAGAAACAGAAACTTCTAAGCATTTTTTTCAAAAGCAATCAGCTTAAAACACACACATAAAACCCTTAGTTCTCACTCTTTGAATCTTATTCAAAAGCAACAATGTTTTTAATTACTTAAGACAACCATATTCCCATATGAGAACTCCTGAAAATAACTGAGTACTGAGTAAAAGTTAGCAGCCATAGCTTTTAATTTGTCTGTGTTGCTTAATCACTGAACGACATTATCTACCAGTGCACTGTAATTGATGCTAGAAAGTGCCTATAAACATTTACAAAAAGAGCATGAGGAAAAAAATGCACTGCTAAATTCCTAAGACTTAGGGGAATCTTTAATAATAATTCCAATTATTTCTAAGGCATAGCATGGGGGTACGCACTTAGATACGCATTATCTCCTTTCTTCAGAGCAACATCTAGAACTATGCTACTTTTTAAGTGATTCTCTGAACATTGAGAGGTCTAGTCTGATGGCAGAGGTCACAAGACCAGTAAGCAACAGAGCCTGGAGTACAACTCAGGCCCTCTGACTTCTTCCAGAATTCAACAGTGCCTTGATGCCTCAGAGAGCTGCATCCTGCCTCTGAGAAACTCCTGACACAACTAAGGGAAACAGCATTGAAATTTCACAATAAAAATGCTGATACAACCTTATCTATAGCCACGCAAATTGAGCCATTAGAATTCTGCTTCATAATTTGAGCTTCACCAATAAACTTGATACTTTTAAATCTTACCAATAAACATTTCTTTGGTTGTCACAAATTATAGAGTAGTGTGCATTAAGGGATCCCAGATTTGACAAATATCAAAGATCTTATCTGTTGTAAAACAAAGTCTATCCCAAACTGAAGGGCTTGGGATGTATTAAAGTGCAGTTTGGGTCAGATTAAGATTCTGAAATGCAAATATTGAGTTAATCTTCAAAGTTTAGTTGTCCTCAAAAATGTTTTGTTGATAAGTCATTTTTAAAAATAACACTGATTTTGTTCATGTACATTGTGAACATAATAAAAATTCCATTGCCTCTAGTTTTAGAAATACTGTAATTACTTATCTGCTAAATTTACTGACTTGTCTGAACCAATAGGAAACAAAATTAGTGGCTTCCATACTCAGAAATGCTATTTCTTCTTTTTCTTCTCAAGTATTTTCTAATCTAAGTACATAACCTGGGCTGACAAAACAGCAATCAAGTGGACGAATACATATTATACCTTAAAGTACTCACTGCCTTCATGTTCAAATGCTTTCCTGTTAAGCAAAGCCTTTTCTTATTGATTTGTAGGGTACTTTAGAAATAATGCCATAACCTGCCTTGCTTACATAATCCTCTTCCTAAAGAAAGTAACAGGTTATAAAGTGCCATTAAAATGATTGAAACTATCTTTCCTCATGTGAGTCTATGCAGTTTGAAGTAAAAGGACAGCTCCTGCATGTGTACATGTGTGTCACTGCCAGTGTCTTTTTGTATAGACTCCTTTACATTTCTGGTAGCATTTCCATCTGCTACTGAGCTTAGAAAACCTCCCGAATATGCCTTGCTTGGTAACATATGTGGGGAACTCAGAACACAACTGAGGAAGTCATTTATAAAATATTCAAATAAGGGTTACAGGAAAAATCATTGCAGACTGTATTTCTGCACACAGTTGTAGACTAACAGCCTGGAAGCAGCTGTAGTGTTACCCTGACCCCTGAAGGAAGGAATCAGGAGTTAACTTCACATTCAATTTCCTACACAATATGAACACCAACCTCCAAATCCACTGGCACAATATTTCAATGTTGGGGCATATCCCGCAGAAATAAAGTCACCTCCAATACCTGACCTCGAAATTGCATCCCACAATCTCACCATTCTCATTTGGGGTAAGCAAATCTTTTCAAAGTTACTTAGTGAGTGGCTAGATTCTACATCTGACTCCATAGGAATACTAGGAAATGGAATATGAGAAACAGAGGCAAAACAGAAGGAATCATCTCGTCTCCCTGACAGAAAAGTCAGCTAGTCTTCTGTGTAAAATAATTGTAAAGGGAAATAGGAAACAGCACAACTAGATGATAAGATGATTCAATTGAAAAGAGTTAAGTTTTCAGCAGTTTTATTTTGGGGGCTATATAATGGGTGAATGGAAAAATAGACCCTAAAACAATAGAAAGCCAAAAGGAGCTGATGTGTGTTTTCTTTCTTTTTTTTTTTTTAATCACAGCTCCAAATAAAACATGAGGGGAAAATGGAATTTTATCCTGCAGCATTCCCTCCTCTGTACAGTGAGCACACTACACTGATCTCGTCTCATGCTAAAAGTCTGGGGTAGCTGCAACATGTCTTTTAAGCCATTCATTAGGGAAAACTTGCAAACGGACTGCTCTTTGTTTTTGGGATTTGTATTAGTAATAAGCCCAATGCCATTTTTAAAAAATGGAGCAGGATATTGTTACCTCTGCAGATTTTTACTTCTCCTTTTCCAGAGGGTTTAAATGGCCCAAAAAGAGGTTGTCATGGCAAAGACAGAGGCGCAAACCACTCAATTCTGACACACCGTGGAAGCAATCATCATTCTTATGAGGGAACCACCAGACTGAAATCTGCATCAAGCTGTACCAGGAAAAATGCAAGGGAGGACCCTAAATGGTCATTCTGTTCACAGTCTTCATTTCAATGGATTTAACTTTCCACTCAGTTGGGGTCACATACTTCAATCATAGGGTAAAGCCCCGTGACCTTGACTGGGATCATCAGCCCCAGTTATTTCAATGGGGCACTTGTGAAACATTGCGGACTCATTTTGACTCTCCGCGGGTGTGGCTAAAATTGCTTCCGTCCAGCCCTAAAGCTTACATGATCTGCTGTCCCTCAGAAACTCACTATGAGAAAACTCATGCTAAATTCGCCACAGAGATCAAGGTTTACAGGACCCTTGGAGCTAATCTCTGTCTGCCCTCCTCCTCTCCTGGCTTTTACAAGCCTTCAAAAGTTAACAGGGTGATGGAGCCTCTCTCTATACAATCATTTCATCTCAGTATCGTTGACTGAAGCTCGCTGATGTAATGAAGTTACATAATCACCGATTATGCACGACTTCCATCCATCTTCCTACATATCCACATTATCTTGTCCCCTCCCCTCTTGATCAATCTACCAGGTGAGATTTATAACACATGTAAATGCTCCATTCTCTCATCATAGGTACTGAATATGGGACTTTAGCATTGCAGTACAGTGCACTGAACCACGTCATCAATATCGATTTTTTTATCCCATTTCCCAGGCAGAATATGCTTTAAGCATCCTTGGTGCTCTAGTCTCTAACTTTTTATGAAAAGGGAAAATAGATGGAGCGGATAGGACACATCTCCAAGTTAAGGTTAAGGGAAGTGTTTAATTGCCTGCATTTCCCAAGCTGGCTGCATTGCAAGAAAACGATGGTCCCTGCTCCCAACCTTCGACTCCTCTGCACGTGGGTCGCAGCTCCAGCTCTTTAGGGTATTAGGTAAATAATTATATTATTGGGCAATTAAACTTGAGAAAGAAAACACTATGGTGATATTTAAGATAATATTGTCCCACTCCCCTGTATTTTGGTCATCATGTTCAGCTTTTTCCTTTTTTTTTTTTTACTCTGAGTGATAATTCAATAGATTACAAAAAAAGTATTCCACGGCACCTAATAATCTCCAATAACCACATCCTTGAGAACAATTAACAATGATTATCACCTTAAAGTTTAAGAACTTGACAAGTGGGATGTCCCCGGTCCCATTGCGGCTGTGAAATGCAGCAGAATGCTGCACTGAGTTGAAAACATATTTCTTTTAATGAATAAAGAGTAGCTCGTTTCATTTTAAATAGGGCTCTTCACTAAGTGTTCCCTTTCCTGCTGCTACCCCTTCCAGAACGCAGGAGCCACAAATATTGCCTCCAAACAAAGAGTGTCTACCGGAATTAATTTAAGACACTCTTCTATATCAAAATAATTGGGGGGGGGTAAGCGATGCTATGATTTATTTTCCATTACACTCAAACTACAGGCACACATACATACACACACGCACACGCACACACACCAACACACCCAACTGCAGTTATTCCATTCAGTGCCAATAACTGGCCACATCACAGCCATCACCGCGATGCAGCAATCTCCAAGTCACCCATTCCCATCACAAATGCCCAAGTTTGCTCGTGCCACTGATGGGTTTGCATGTATAAAATGACCTTACCCACAAGAGTCTTCCGAATTATTCTCCTCTGGATATCAGTCGGTAAGGTAATTGCTGGTCATCACAATGCGTATTCAGAAAAATCCACGTTTTACTCCTGTGTTCTTTTTCTTGTCTTTGCTAGCAATTAATATCGTGAACAAGATACCCATTCACAAATGCCAAGTTCACCATAAAAGCAGATAATTCCATACAGATCTTTCCTACAGACTGTCTGTCTCCAGTTAGTTCTCAAAGTGCCCGATTGTTTGGTGAAGATAGAATCCAGGTGCAGAGCAGGGGGAAAAAAAGACAAGGAGGAAAAAGAAGAGGCAGAAAGAAAAGGAGAGACTGGGAGAGGAGGGAGCAGAAAAGAGGGAGGAAATAATAATTTTTAAAACACAAGGAAGAAAAAAGGCCGATAAGTGAGGAAGTCTGTGAGCTCTATGACAAGAATTGGAGTCTTGCTTGCAAATCTTCTGGATACATGTAGCTTTTCAAATCCTCCTGTTCCCCAAGTAAAATTTCCAGATCCGGGATGCAGCCATAAGAAAGAATCCTATGTATATTTCACAAGTATCCCGCAATAACAGATCCGACGGGGTTTTCCTTGTACAGTACTGCTATGTGAAAGCACACAACCCCTGCTGTTTGGGAAGGTGTCTCCTGGGTCCTAGCTCTCTTCAGCAGCCCCCAAAAATGATTTTTCAAAAAAGAGTGTGTGTGGGGTGGGGAAGCAGCTTTGCGTTTGTCTTGAATGATGCTAATCCTGAGCGAAAACGACAAGCAAACCACGAACAGCACGAGATCTTGATTAATAGCCACGATCCACTCAAAATATCCCAGGAAAGAAGGAGCGAAAACAAGAAAGAGAAACTGCAATGCATAAATGATTCCAGTGTTTCTACAAGATCGGTTCATTTGATTGAATGCATTCTCTGGTTTGCTGCAAGTCATAAAGAGGATAGTATTACTGCCACCCAATGGATATTTTAGTACTAGCCAATCCACAGACAGCCACCGCTTTGCGAGTTTTAGTTTTTGGAAGACCGGAGAGGAAGGAGGGTAGCCTGGGAATCTTTTGGGAACGACTCCGGGAGGCCCCAAATAACGGGAATCTGTCCTTCCGGGCAAAAGTGGACGGCAGATTTGGATGCTTACCTAGTCTTGCGTTGGCCACCTTAGAAATGCGGTTCCATTTCTCCAGGAAGCAGAAAGGTGGAGAGCGATGCCTAGGCTGATACACTCATAATAACCTCCTTTTCATCTCTTCTCTTTGAAGTCGATTTATTATTGAGCGCGATCTCTCTCTCTCTGTCTCTCTCTCTCTCTGTCTGATGAATTTCAAACTGGAGGAGGGTTCAGGGCTGCTCCAAACGGCAGGTGGCAAGGTGACAATTGTTTCTAAAGGACAGTTTGGCAAAGCGCTTCAGTCTGTATTGGTATGTAAACTGGGAGTCCTCCAGGCAGAGTGCCTCCACCAGTTTCAGTTTAGGAGGCAAAATCATCCCGAAGTGAGTGGGGTTCGGGAAAAGGGGGAGGGGAGGAGGGGGAGGCGAGGGAGAGGGGGAGGAGGAGGAGCAGAGAGGAGGGAACTGAAGAGGATCCTCCTTCCTGTCACCGTTCCATAGAGCTCCCTACTTGAGTTGCCTGCGGGTTTCTGTGGTGAGGAAAGCAACAAAGTGGGGACTGGTAAATAAATGAAGGTAATTGTTCAGTTTGAGGGCCTGGCTCTTTTCCCTCGGGAGAGCGTGGTGCTCGCAGGTGATTGCGTGCTTCTCAAACTTAAATGTATGCAGATCACCCCCTAAGTCTTGTGAAAGGGGGGATTCCGATTCTGCGGGTCTGGGGCGAGGCCGGAGAGTCTGCAGTTTCTACTAAGCTGGCTCCTGGACCATAATCATGCCATTGGCCTAGCTAGACCCTGGGGGAGTGTTCATAGTTACACTGCAGCCACAGTGTGAGGGTCTGACAGCAGGGTAGGCAGGTCGCATAAAGGACAGAGTAGCACCTCTCCGCCAGTCCCCACCCCTTCTCCTCCTCCACCCCGGTTCCCATAAACCCCCTGTAGCTCCCTCTCTTGAAAAGCTAAAAGCGCTCTACAATGCGTTCCACAAGCTTTTGTAATGGAAGGTTTAACAGGATAAACCAAAAATAGAACGATAAATAGGTAAAGCAGCCTTGGCCCTGGAGAACTGTATCTTCATTTAATTTGGAGAGTAAAACACAAGTTAGAGGAAATGTTTGCAACAGTTCGGGCACACGTGAGCTTAAGGAAATCAGGGCGCAGGTGAGACTGGAGGACTACTGGGAGGCCAGAAGGGAAAGTGAATCTGCATTTTGAAGGAAGGAGCGGTAAATTGAATTTTCCAACCCAAGGGGAGGGAAGCAGGGGTTAAAGTGTGTAGGCAAATCTTATGTGGGTTCTCTGAAGGCAACGCACCAGCGTAACCTCGTGTGTGCTAGCGGGTCTCTGCTCCATATTCCCTGCCTAAGTGCTGTAATCCAGAGTACTCTGAAGACCAGAGGTGAGGAAGAAATATAGTCCCTCCTCTTACAGCGAGTGATCTGTTTTTTCTACACTTGCTCTCACGGTCCTCTAAGCAAAGGATTCCACCTCACACAGACTGGGAGGGAGCACAATTAGCAAATGCAATTGTTTCCAGCAAAGTTGAGAAGTGAAAGTGGTGGACTCCAGGCTCAAATCCTAATTCGAGTCTACTTTCTACTCTCAAGCAGCCACCATGACTCAAGGGAATCCCTTTCCTTTCCCTTGGCCTCAGTTTCCTTATTTGTAAAATGACTGATTGAAATGAGCCAGCGGCCCAGGTGTGGTCCAGACCCATACGGCGCAGACATCAAGTCCTGGAGTTGCAATGCTTCTCCAAGTCAGTCTCTAATTCTACACAGAGCGTGAGTTAGAATTACAGGCCATGAGCTACAGAGAGCAGCAAGAAGCACTGGAAAGTGTCTTAAAGACCCAAGTGACCATTCGGCCATTTCAATCCTGTGGCAAAAGACGATTTAAAACACTCTCTCTTCAGATTTGGGAAGGGAAGTGTTTATTTGAATCTGAGGTGAAGCATTGTCTATTCCTGGATTCTACCGAGCCAACTGTGGGCCTCGCTGTTTGTTGCCATGGGATCCTCTTTGTGCGAACTGTCTTGAACTGTGTGGGAACATTTTCCTCTTGCCTCCCTCCCTTCAGTTCTCTCTCTAACTCTTCTGAAGATATGTGTCAGAACGAAATGTAGCTGCATTATTGCCAATTAAGACTAACAGCAGCTGCAAGGTGCATCTAATTAAGAATTTTAATTACTTCACCCAATTCTCTTTTGCAGATGTTGAGAGCATTAAACAATGTATTGTGATTTTGTTCTAGAATCTGTGCAAAACTGACCTCCCTCGAAAGGGAGGTAAAAAACCATATGATTCAATGATGGGTATAAAATTAAGACTCTGACATGGGAAGAATATACTTTGACACGTTGCTTGAGAATTTGTGACACTATGTCCAGGATGAGGCAATAGAGTACATATCTACAAATATGATTTTTTCTCTAAGTACAAGAAAAAGGCAAGCAAATCTCAAAATACTGAAAAAAAAATTAACAATTTACTACTCAAATAGACTCCTTGCATGTTACATAGTTCTCAAATGCTCTATTCTTTTCCTTTGCCAGTAACAGGATGGTTAACAGTAAGTTTGGTGCTGCAATATGGGAATTGTAGGCCATATGCAAAGCATTATGGGGTTTGTAGTAAAAGCTAGCTGCAGATCAATTCCATGCTTCTAGCTTTTCTCAATTGAAGAAACTGCTGTTTTATTTTCTGGTAATGAAAAAAGAAGAGTGTCAAGATATTTTACATTGGAAATTCATTTTAATGAAACAAAGTTGGTATTACTAGGAGTATGAAATCAGAGCTTAGTGACAGTAATATTCTGACTGGGGAGATGGAGAATACATTACCTCTACTTCACAAACCACACAATAACCTGAGTGAGCTGTTTCCTAACGTTACTATCCTATAGCTAAAGTTTCAAATTCACTTTCATTGCCTTAGTAATAAAAAGTGAGGAATGTGGTATTTATCAAAAAGAATTGTGAACACAGGAAATGAACTCAAATTTTTATGGATTTTGCCTTTAACTGTTTGTAGCCTTAATTTAATTTGTCACATTTCACATCATTCCTCAGTAAAATGAACTAGAGTTTTATTTAATCTACCTTTTTAGGTGTTTTGCTACACAAAATTATTCTGAATATTCAGAGTAGCTACTCTTTTTAATGATATTCTTTGAGACTACAAAACATGTTTGGAATGAGGTGTTTGGTTCAGTTTTAAATTAGTTAATTATGGAAACATGAAACTTCACAAGTTATAATCTACTTAATTTTTTTTGTTTGCAGATTATTCTATGTGGATAATACACAATGTACTGAAGTTTTGATTTAACTCTGTTGGCAGTTTATTTCAAAGTTCATTAAATCTTTTCTGCGTGATATGAATTTAACGTTTAGCTCCCCAGGAATGCTCTTGAAATCAGCCCTGTTTTTGTTATGACAACTGAAATATGTCTCTTCAAAGTCTCTTCCATCTGTGAATGTCTCCATTATTATGCTAAGTTACTTAGAAGGCATTTTATACCTGAGGTTGCTTCCTTTTTTCTTTTTCTCCTTAAAAAGGCCTCCATCCATAAAAAGGCGGTGCTAAAGCAAACTATTATTACAGACATGAATAAATGCAAAATCAAGTACCCTTCGTTTTCAGGCCTTTTGCCAGCAACATTCATTTGAACTCACAACCACACATTCTCAAATGAGGTATAGACAAAGACTTGAGCATTTCGGCAGAACTCCACCATAAAGTTCAGGAATAATAAAGAATGCTATGAAAAAGCAAACGGCAACAGGGAAGAAAAATGCCATGCCTGCTTTTCTTTCAGATTTCTAAGTTTTGAATCATAAAAATATACAAATATATATCTTCTTGAATGCAGTTTACGTTATTGTTCATACTGTGAATATTTCTTTTATGGTCATAAAAATAAAAGCAATGCCCCAAATGAAACACTATGTACATAAGCGATGCAAATGCATCCCCGTGGAAAGCCGGCTGGCTGCTAGTGGGAGGGTATATTTATACAGTGCCTTTCATTTGGAAGGTTCCCAAAATGATTTGCAAACTGTATATAGAGGAATTGCTCACCATGGAAATTCACCCACTTCCAAGAGAGAATGCAGAAGTCATTCCACGCTGACAACCAGTTTAAATAAAACTACAGAATAATATTTCAGGTGGGTAAGTATTAGAATTATCATTGATTCAGGAAATGGGCACCAAAAACCCAGTATTTGCTGAGCAGGAGTGAAGGTATGGAGGACATTTCTATGGCTGTATTTAGTCAAGATCCTGCTCTCCAAAAGCTTACATTTTATTGAAATCTGACCAGAACCAGGGAACTAAAAGCCTCATTCCCTGGTGCATTTCTGATGTCCACATGTAGTTCAACGGAAATAGACTACTTGATATTTTTGTCAGTGTTTCTATCTGGCTGCATGTTATTCAGGACACATGACTTTTTTTTTTTTTTATTTGACAGATAAAGTCAGACAGTGAGAGATAGAGACAGAGAGAGAAGTCTTCCTTCGTTGGTTCATCCCCCAAATGGCCACTAAGGCCGGCGCCGGCCCTAAGCCAGGAGCCAAGTGCTTCTTCCTGGTCTTCCATGCAGGTGCAGGGGCCCAAGCACCTGGGCCATCCTCCACTGCCCTCCTGGGTCACAGCAGAGAGCTGGAATGGAAGAGGAGCAACCGGGACAGAATCCAGTGCCCCAACTGGGACTAGAACCCAGGGTGCTGGTGCCGCAGGCAGGTGATTAACCAAGTGAGCCACGGTGCTGGCCCCAGGACACATGACTTTTGGCAATACTCCGCTTCAAATTGTATGTACAAAAAAAGAGCTGCATTTATTATGGTTGGGGCAGGAAAAATAATAAATAATGATACCATTTCCTGCATTGAATGTTTTTGGGGGACAGTAGGGCAGAAGTCTCTGGGTTTGGGAAATCAGATGAGATGGTATTGACGTAAATATATGGGAGATTGCTTCCTCTGAAATGATTTAGGGCACTTCATGGTAATTAAGGTATCTAAAATACTTCGGTGAAGGAAGAGAACAGTGTGAGCTGATGTTTCAGTGTATAAAATATGAAATAAAGTGTCAGTGACTCCTAAATGAACTAGATTAATGATATTTTTCAATCGCAAATAGAAGAGGAAAGTGGGGAGAGAATGTTATAGTTAAAGTTCAGCCCAGACTCACTGGCCCAGACTCTAGCTGCAGATGCCCACAGCCATCGCCCTCCTCTGTGACCAGCATCCAGGCCTTGCTCACAATGTTCTTGGGCTACTGGAGCTGCCTGTCTTGCCTCTTATACAAGCAGGAAGTGCCGCAAGTTTGGCACCCTTCTCCACCTGATGTAGGAGTATATAAAACCAT